TTTGCCGCGGGGGGGGGGGGGGGGGGGGGGGGGGGGGGGGAGATCGATAACGAGATGTGGATGATTGTGCATTTATTGGGCGTTTCGTGGCAATCTTGTGAAATTGTATAACGGTAATTTAATCGCGCAATGTATGTATATATACATTGAATGTAATTTCAAAACGCGGATAAAAAGGAGGATAGATAGGGAATTTGTGTTTACGCCGCGACAGATTGAACGAATCGAAGATTTATATCACAATATAATGCCCGTTTCAGTAATTTTGCTGTTTCCAGAACGTCATAACTTACCGAGAGGCTGCATCGAATAATCTCGAAGAGCGCAAATAGAAATAATTCACTTATAGGCCGAGGTTTAAGCGAATAATCAGTCCGACTCACGAATGCTTTTAATATACGATTGGCTTCATTTTTCAAAAGCCCATTATGCTCTCCAACTACGAAATACTTACGCGAATGTGCATGCATATATGTATAAGCACGCTACGAGATGCGCAAACACAATGCGCACAGTTATATAAAACTCACCGGACTCGAAGGTTATCTCGCTAATCATGATCCATCGAGCGGCAAAGCCGAAGCGCAGCTTCACGAACTTCCCGATGCGATGGTGCAGCTTTATCGTGATGTTGCGCGATACCTCGAAGATTTTGTCTTCGGGAGTGTCGTAGACGATGGGATCGCCAGTGTAGTACTTGCCCCCGATGCTGAACAGTATGTTCACCTCGGAGAAGACCTGTGGAAGACAATGGGGAATCAAACAATCGCCATTAGTTTTTCTCATTTGCTCGGTCGTGCGCGCACGCGATCAATCGAGCGCGATAAAGTATCACTATCACCGATGCAATTCCATGAAAATCGTGAAATCCTAAGCTATAGCCGCGAATGTAATAGTTACTGAGATATTGATCAATGATTGGCTTAGATCGTATCGCAGATCAATTGAATCGTTCGCCTCGAATGCAATATGCGTGCACGTGTATAGCAATTGAAATGCTCGCTTAACCGCTCAACGCCGTATGTAAAGTGCCATTTACTTATTGAATAAATAAATAAATTAATAATAATAATAATAATAATAATAATAATAATAATAAGAAGAAGAAGAAGAAGAAGGAATGTTCGAGTGGAAGTAACTATTGATAAAATTATCTCTTTCTCGATAGCACCCAATCATTATAAGTACTTAAAATTATAATTTCGCGTATGCCAAAAGACATTGGTACAAATATTCTTATGAATTGTTGTTAATTTGTAGGATAATGAGAAAAAGCAAAGAGATAGGAAAATTATAAAATCAAAGAAAAAAGGCATATGGTTATAATATTGTAGCGCCGTTGAGTAACCTATGACATTGTAATAAATAGGCATCGAATGAATTCTTGGAAGGACGGGAGCGAGCTGTCGACATTAATAAGACGTTTGACTATTGGCTAATGCCTGGGCAAGACCATGGGCCTAAGTAATGCTAAACGATCTTCTGTGGATGCGAACAGTGGAGCAATAACGGCAACAATTTATACGTTCGCACAATAAATGTTTCATTAAATCAAATGGAGGAGGCATCGAATTTTATTGCAGAATAGCATCAAACAGTCCGTCGGCAGTTCATTATCATCGGAAAGAGCGTCTCGGCGGCACTCCACGGCATTTAAATGTACCGACGTACGCGCACATGCATTAACCATTGCAAATAAAATTCGTGTTTAATCTACGTAAGACAAAAGAGGACCCGTTTGCACAAGTCTCGAGCTAAAAAGGAGCGTTAAATTCCAGCCTTAAAATAAATATTGTGAGTCGGCAACTAGTTGGAGGTAAATGTAGATCGCTAGGGAGTACCAGTATTACAAAGAACAAGAAGTAGAAGGAGGAGGGGGAAGAGTATGGCGAGTAGGGGGTGGGATGAAAGGGGATGAGGAGAAGAAGCGCAAGAAGGACAGGAGGCGCTTTATCTCTCGAGCAAACTGAGTATAAGGCCTTTGACTTTCCCTCAACGACACTCGGTAAGGCCGGGTTACAGATAGAGAGAGAGAGAGAGAGAGAGAGAGAGAGAGAGAGAGAGCGAAAGAGGGGGGAGGGGGGACTGTACAACCACGGGTAAGGTTAAGTGAAGTAAGTACTCTCGTCGTTTCGGGACGATTCCGACCTCCTGATTAGGAGGACTACAATGGCACTGACAGCCTCGATAATGGTAAGCTGTGTAGCACGGAGGCACAACTCTCCAGACTCTCTTGCTTCCCCCCTTCTAAAGATCCATCTCCTTCTCTCTCACTCTCTCTCTCAATCTCGAGTCTATCCCTATCTTACTCTACCATGAGCTTGCTACTCCCCGCACTTACGTCGACGGAGAGACACGAATATACTTCCAAGCACATAACTTAAATATAAAACGTGAAATCTAAGCAAAGTGGGGCCAATAAGAGAGGCGCGCGTTTGCGTGAGCGCATTAGGGAGGAGGAAATCACGGACGATAGTAATGGAATGTTAAATCGACTGGGCAAATCGTCATTGTTGCCACACGCACACTCATATTTGACGAGCGCGGCTATGTATTTTTCTGCACGGCTGTGTTATAGAGTCGATGCATTCGTCACGCCAATATAATCTCCTTATAATCTCCCTCTTCTTTGCGCGTATGAAGGTAAACCACGAGTAGTGGAAGGTCTTGTACATTCTCGATGCTTAGAAATATCCTGTGATTTAAAAATTTCACGATTGAGGACCTTCGGAATGGGGATACGGAATTTCTACTGTCCCTTGCTATTCAATATAATTTATTCGAACAAATTAGTTTTAAGCGTAACGAGAGATTGGTTTACGAGCAACCAATGATTGGACAATACAATGTTTGTACGTTACTTAATAATTATTTATATAATCTGAATTTATGCTGAAAATCTGCGCGTACTTTTCCTGCGCAATACATTCGCAGCTCTCTAAACGAGTTCATTTTTTATTTAGAATTATAAGTTTCATCATCTTATTTTATGTTCGACAATCGATATCTGTATCGTTGTAACTCTATTGCGTTACAATTGCCATAATTACATTAAGGATAATCAATATAAATAAATCCTGAGCTACAATAAGTAAAACCTTGGCATTCGAGTACGATCGAATAGACGTTGAATAATTCTTACACGTGTGTGTGCGCGTGCGCGCGCGCGCGTGCATGTGTATGTGTGTATAGAAGACAATCAGAAATTGTAAGTGCGTTCGTGCATTTAGTGGAAATTCTAAACACATTGAAAATAATATTCTACGACAATAATAGCCTAGCGAATTATCAACATAAATCACGAAAAATCTATCATTTACTTAAACGATGACTCAGCACTTTGAGTATCGTGCTTTCTTTCTCATTTTCATAATCCATTTTGGATAACTTGGAGCTTTTCGCAGCCCGAGCGCGATTCCCCGTCCCCCCTCACCAGCCCCTCACCAGCCCCTCACCAGCTCCTCACCGTTCCAGAGTTCCCCGGTCACGGTAACTAACTGCCTCACCGTCAGCCGTCACCCGCCCCCGCGTCGCCTTGCCGCCACTTTCGTACATCGTAGTCGGCTGGAGTTGAGCCTGAACGCCCAAGCGCGAACAGCTGCTAAGCGACGAAAAGGTGCGTTTGAATGGGCAGATCGAAGTGGCGCGGTTCCGCGATAATCCGTATAAAGCATCTGGGTGCAGTGCATCGCGCCTATTGATTTTGGCTAACTCCTGGCCGATGCTCCCTCGCTTCGTTGCGCCTGTCTTTCGGGGCTCGGCGATGACGAGGTCGACGTGTCCCTGTCCCACGCGGCGGCGCTCGTTAACGGTACGACGGGTACGTGAAGCAGGATGTGGGACGACGAGAGACACACTGAGAGAGACACAGAGAGATAGAGATAGAGAGAGAGAGATAGAGAGAGAGAGAGA